AGACAATTTATAAAATTAGAGTGCACTCAAATATATTTGGCCAAATTGAATTATAATATCCTCTTTATGATTATTAGATTTATAATTGTATGACTGGTCAAAAACTTTGGAATAGTCAATTAACAGAGATCTCTTGAGATTAGAATCAGAATGAAAGTGCTTTTATACCTGTAAATATAAAAAGAGCCTTTTGAAGTTGTCCCCCCCTTTTTAAATTTTTTTTACCATAAATCTATAATTATTATTCCTCTGGGGGCATCATTAGGTAAGTGCATCTGTTCCTGGGCAGCTACCCATTCCCCATTTCCAAGAGCATATCCATAGTGATTTCCTTCTTTTGTCTATGTGAATGACCTAATTCTGTTTTGACCTTATCTTCATATTCCATTTTCCACAGTAAATAATCCCCTCCTGGTAGGCAGGCTTTTGTTACCTGTTGCCAATCATATGGAGTCATCCATTTTCCTCCTAAGTTTTCTAGCAGAGTCATAGTATAGGGAAAGGAAGCCCCATACGAATGTACACCAGCTTTGATTTCTTTTAGTAGTTTCAAAGGTAAAGGCTCCCATACCAGCTCATAGTCCCAGTCTGCGTCAAAGATGACAGGAAAGCAGGAGAAAGTGGCATCGCCCGCCACAGTAGCTTCATGAACAACCCCTGAGAAGCCAACCTGATTTGGCGGTGGAGGAAAATGGTGCTGGCGAGCCTTACCTTTAACCTTTTTTGGGCTACACAAGGCAGTAGCTTGTAAAGGTGACCAATCAGGATTATGATATCAAGCTGCTTGTTCCTCTAAGTCCTTCTCCTCTGAGGGAGATAATGGCTCATCTGTGTCATTTTCATTTTCTAATACACCATAAATGGAAGGAGGTTTTTTAGTCTTTAACAGTGGAGTTTTCTCAGTGGGTGCTGAAGGGAAAGTATCTGAGGGACAAGAATTAATCATAGAAGAGCCCATAGATTGATTAATCACAGACCAAAAGGAGAAGATATTAACAGGAGTTTTTCTGGCCCATATTCAGTATAATGTTTCTGTATGTCTTTTCCCATACATCCCCAAGTATCCGCATCCAAAGTTCCTGCATCTGGGAACCAAGGACAACATTCCTGAATGAAGTCCAGGAAGGCTGATAAATCTTTGGTAGCAACCTTAACCTTATGAGATTGCAAACAGTGTTGTAAAATATCAACAAAGAGTCCTCTTTCTTTAGACCCCTTGTGGCCCATTATCTTCTCTATGTAAGTTCTGACTATTCACCAATCTCTTAATCGCCTACTCCTTTCTCTGAGTGCGGGGCCTGCAGTGCCCTATTGGGTGAAGTCCGCCCAAGACCAAACTATAATTGATTACACCCCTTATCTGCCCCATGTTGGGCGCCACCTGCCACAGACCAGCTGCAGTCGATGTAGGGTAGGAAGGGGAGATGTCTTGGGATGGCGATGAAAAAAGAACCTTCACAAGCAATGTTCAGGTTCCCTCTGAGAAGTCACAGGGTCTGATTTATTTTTATATCTTTAAGCAATAGCTGGGAGCATTGGGCGGAACATGTTTATATTTTAAGTTGCCTTCGCAATTTCTATTGAAGTAAAGGTTATTTTCTTGCTAAACAAAGTACAATTTCTCTAAGCTGTTTCATTTTATTGAACATCATGAATACATATTTAAAAATTACAATTGTCCCCTTATTTACCCACACCTAAACAGAACAGAAAGTAACTTAATCAAAATTTTTATATCAGTGGGGGTAAAAGCAAGATTTAATCAACTAAGTGTCAAACTTGTGGTCACCAGCTGGCCCTTGAGAAACTGCACAATGGTTAATATAGTTTGCTATTAGCTCTCTATTTTACTTTACCTCTATTCATCTTAACTAAATGCCAT